CCAGCGCCATCACAGCTGAGTCTCTTCTCACCCGGCTTTGATGGTGGGGCAGCTCCTGTGCCTGCAGCTGTGGTCCAGGGGGTGTCTGTGCTGGATACAGAAGTTGCCGTGACATTGGGCACACACCATCTGCAGCATCTCTTTCTTCTTGCAGCCCTCTTTTGAGCACCGGTACGTAAAAATCTGAGAGAGCAAAGTGACTTCAACAAGCAATTCTTTTTTTGGAGACACGGTGTCCCTGTGTCGCCCAGGCCAGAGTGCAGTGGCTCAATCTCAGCTCACTACAACCTCAACCTCCTGGCCTCAAGTGATTTTCCCGTCTCAGCCTTCTTCGTACCTGGTACTACAGGCACATACCACCATGTCCAGCTAATTTTGTTTATTTTCGTAGAGGTGGGATCTTGCCATGTTGCCCAGGCTGGTCTCAAACTCAGCCTCAAGTGACCCTCCTATCTTGGCCTCCCAAAGTGCTAAGATTACAGGTGAGTCATGTGCTGGCCTTAATAAGCAATTCTTTAACAGCCCCCAGTAATAACATTCACATTTAAACTAGATGCAGCTCCTGTCTGCACAGACTACAGACGCCGAATTTCGTTTGATCATTTTAGTGCAGGCAAGAAAAGGAACATGGGGCTCATGCCTGTAACCCCAGCACTTCGGGAGTCTGGGGCAGGTGGCTCACCTGAGGTCAGGGAGTTTGAGACCGCCTGATCAACATGGAGAAACCCCATCTTTACTGAAAATACAAAAATTAGCCAGGTGGGGTGGCGGGTGCCTGTAATCCCAGCTACTTGGGAGGCTGAGGCATGAGAATCATTTGAACCTGTGAAGCGGAGGCTGCAGTGAGCTGAGACTGCACCACTGCACTCCAGCTTGGTGACAGGGTGAAATTCTGTCTCAAAAAACAAAACAAAACAAAAACCCAAAAAACAAAGGAAGAACACTAAGGAGACAGAAACTTTAACAAGCAGTAAAGAAAACCGGCATTGAAGCTGGGGGTTCCTGTGAACATGGCTCAGAGGTGCTGCTGGGAGGACGAGAGAGAAGCAGCAGGGACGCAGGTACCGGGAGGGAAGGAGGCTGAGCACAGATGTGACAGGCAGCCCCACAGAGGCACCGGCTCCGGGAGCTCTGGGACAGTGGAGCTTGTCCTCATCAAGGGAACATCTATCATGTCCCTGTACCCACCGGTCATTTTTTAAATTTTTTGGTGGCAGGGGTAGGTGGCAATATAAATTTCTAGATACTCAGAACTCCGAGAGGGGAAGGTAGAAAGTGGGGACGGGGTCCAGCAGCCGAGGTGGCCCTCCGGCCAAGGCAGGCAGGCAGGCAGGCACAGCCACGATGACCAACCAGGAAGGAGGGGCCGTGCAGAGACGCAGGCAGAACACAGATGATGCCTGCCTCGAGGGCAGGGGCAGAGTGGGCCAGAAGCTGACAGAAGGGTGCACCTGTTTGGGGGCCTTGGGGCAGTGCTGGGTGAGCCCCCAGCAAGGGAGGCTGTGTTGTGTGGGAGAAGTGGGTGCACCAGGGAGAGCTGCGATGTCTCAGAGGCTCAAGAGATCTCCAAAGGCTGAGGGACCCAGGCATAGCCACAGCAGGGGGAACTAGACAGGGTCAGAAAGGGAGGATCGGAGCGAGCTTCCATACAGAGGGTTTTGTGTGGCAGACTAAGGAACACTGATTTTATTCCATGTTTGAGGCTGAAAGTAAGAGTTACTTGGCTTATGGTAATATAACTGTAAAGTATTGAACATCATATACTAAGATAATTGATAACCACAGACCAGGACCCATGACTAGGAACGTATTAAGCCTGACAGCAGGCAGTTCCCTAGAGAAGCTTCTTGAGCCCGGCACGGTGGCTAACACCTGTAATCCCAGAACTTTGGGAAGCTGAGGCTGGCGGATCACCTGAAGTCAGGAGTTTGAGACCAGCCTGACCAACGTGGAGAAACTCCATCTCTACTAAAACTGCAAAATTAGCCAGGCATGGTGGCAGGTACCTGTAATCCCAGCTACTTGGGAGGCTCAGGCAGGAGAATCCCTTGAACCCGGGGAGGCAGAGGTTGTGGTGAGCTGAGATCCTGCCATTGCACTCCAGCCTGGGTGACAGAGCAAAACTGTTTCAAAAAAAAAAAAAAAAAAAAAAAAAAAAGCCAGGCGCAGTGGCTCAAGCCTGTAATCCCAGCACTTTGGGAGGCCGAGGCGGGTGGATCACGAGGTCAAGAAAAATCGAGACCATCTTGGTCAACATGGTGAAACCCCGACTCTACTAAAAATACAAAAAATTAGCAGGGCATAGTGGCGCATGCCTGCAATCCCAGCTACTCAGGAGGCTGAAGCAGGAGAATTGCCTGAACCCAGGAGGCGGAGGTTGCAGTGAGCCGAGATCGCGCCATTGCACTCCAGCCTGGGTAACAAGAGCGAAACTCCTTCTCAACAAAAAAAAAAGAGAAGCTCCTGGAAAAGCCAGCAGGGCCTACAGGCTCATGCTGAGAAGCGAAAGGAAGGAGGCGGAACTGTGCCTGGAGGCCTGAAGGTCGGCAGGCCTTAGGAAGAACTGGAGGAACCAGCGGGGCTTCGGTGAAGGGGAGGTGGAGCCGGCCCTGCCCAGGCCCTTCCCAGGGCACGCAATCCCTGGGAAGGACAACCCGGGATAGGCACCTCATGGAAGGAAGCGGACATGGGCCTTCGGAAACACCATGCTGAGCAGGGGGGAGGAGAGGTGGGATCTCAACACACATTCCGGTCCTGCCCCTCCTGAAATACCATAAAAGCCACAGAAGATTTTTGGAAAAGGATAAACCCACAAGGGCAGAGACAATGACAATAAAGACAGCAGCAAGATTTCAGAAGCTAAGAATGACGTGGACAAATGGGGACTTAACAGATGTGGGAAAGACAAACTGTCAACAGGTAGAGAGGGCAAAAAGCAGCCCCGCTTATGAATCAAAACCCCAACAGCTCAGCCAGGCGTGGCGGCTCCCACCTGTGATCCCAGCACTTTGGGAGGCTGAGGCAGGCGGATCATGAGGTCACGAGCTCAAGACCAGCTTGACCAACACGGTGAAACCCTGTGTCTACTAAAACTACAACATTTAGCCAGGTGAGGTGGCATGTGCCTGTAGTCCCAGCTACTCGCGAGGCTGAGGCAGGAGAATCGCTTGAACCCAGGAGGCGGAGGTTACAGTGAGCAGCTATCACACCACTGCACTCCAGCCTGGGTGACAGAGCAAGACTCCGTCTCATAAAAAAAAAGAAAGAAAGAAAAAAAAATTATCCAGGGGAGAGAGAAGAGCAGAGGAAACCAAAGAAACCAAGAGAATGTTCCAGAGTCCAGGAGGGGTCCACTGTGTGCCCAACACATAGGAGATGGACCTATGGCAGGACAGGAGTCTGGTGTGACCCTTCCAACTCTGGTACAGGGAGAAGCTCCTGCAAGCTGTCAGAAAACAGGCCCCACTGAGGACCAAGGTCAGGATGGCGTGGGAACTCTGAAGTCAGGGCAGATGTCCCAGGAAGAGTTCAACAGTAGGATGCTCAGACCCACACAGCTCATTACAGAGAAGCAGAGGATAAAGACCCGCAGAGATGTATGGGGTTGACTGACCTCCCCGTCTCCCTCCCAGGAAGCAACCAAAGGATGGACTTCTGCCAAAATAAGGAACAAAGAAGAACACAGAACACGGAACTCAGCTCTACCCTGAGAAATGCAGGAAAGTTGGATCCCTCAAGAGAAGCCGGCCTGGGCAACACAGTGAGACCCCCACCTCTACACAAATTTGTATTAGCCAGGCGTGGTGGCGTATGTGCCTGTCAGCCCAGCTACTAGAGAGGCTGAGGTGGGAGGATAGCTTGAGCCCGGGAGGTCCAGACTGCAGTGAGCTAAGATCCCACCGCTGCACTCCAGCCTGGGCGACAGAGCAAGGCCCTGTCTCAAAACAAAAAAAACAAAAAGCAAAACCAAAACAAAACAAAAAAACCGAAAGGGAATCTCCAGGCTGTTGTCCTGAAGGTAACTGAGGCCTGGATCACCCACCCAAAAGAACAGCCCAACTCTACAGGGAGGTGGGTGCATGAGTGTGGGAATCGGCTATGGAGGAAATTCACAGTATCCCTGTGGTGGGCAGGGAATGCCTATGGCCAGAGAGCGAGCAAGACAAACTCAGGACGCGACAACATTTACACGGGAAAAAGCGTACACCACGAACACACACCGCTGGCTAAGAGCTGAAGGCCGGGGGGTCCCGCAGAGAACCGGGGCCTGCTGTGCTTCCTAACAGGCTTTACTACTAATGAACAAGTGAAAAACTTTAATAAAAAAACGCTGATGGCACCAAAGCAAGAACACAATTTGATATCTTCTTCCATTTTACTAGGAGGAGCTTAGAAAATAAACATACAGTCGGCCAGGCGCGGTGGCTCAAGCCTGTAATCCCAGCACTTTGGGAGGCTGAGGCGGGTGGATCACGAGGTCAAGAGATCGAGACCAGCCTGGTCAACATGGTGAAACCCCGTCTCTACTAAAAATACAAAAAAATTAGCTGGGCATGGTGGCGTGTGCCTGTAATCCCAGCTACTCAGGAGGCTGAGGCAGGAGAATTGCCTGAACCCAGGAGGCGGAGGTTGCGGTGAGCCGAGATCGTGCCATTGCACTCCAGCCTGGGTAACAAGAGCGAAACTCCATCTCAAAAAAAAAAAAAAAAAAAAAAAAAAAAAAAAAAAAAAAAGAAAATAAACATACATTAACAGAACGGATCTAGAAAGCCAGGTCAATACTCCATCTCAGGAGGAAAACCAGTCAATCCTGGTAAAGAAAAACAAACCTAACCCGGGATCCCTTAAAAGAACATTTATAAAACTAAAAACTCACTCTACTTGCAGCATGAGGCAGGGACAATACAGCGTAAGGACTCTACTTTGTATATGAAAACTGACTCTTCCCAAGGAAAAAGCAGCCTTCGCAGTGAAGGAACCGACGTGGACTCTGTCCTTACCTTCTCTTTCTTCTTCACAGGATGATAGCCACAGTCTCGATCCATGTGATCGCCAACCACCACATCTGGGACCTGTCCCTTTTTTATTGGGATGGGGATATTACAGAGTGGGCACACGGGGACCTTAACATCCTAAAAATAACAAAGGTGAGATGGCATCTGAGACTCAGACAACCTAAACTCACAAAAGCTTTAAATGAGTACTCTTGCCGTGGCACACTTAAACACAAATAGAGTACAAACACCGGGCTCCCAGAACAAAGCATTGTTGGCATCACGGATTAGCGGTGGCGTCTCTAGAATGTAAGCATCAGCTGCCCTGAGGAGTCTAGTCAAAGTTTCAATGAATGGACTTCAGCCGACTGCAGAAATCAACCAGGGCCACCTCAGGATGGCACTGCCCAGGTGAAAGGAGAACCTGCCCAGGTGCCCGCACAGGGCAGGGAAATACCGACCACAAAGACCCTCCAGCTCGTGTACCGGGGGTGAGCTCCCAGATACTAATGACTGTCACTGGCTACAGGCCAAGGTTGTGGGGGCTTCAGAGGGGATGACCAACCAAGAGCTGAAGACCCAGCACGACTAAAAAACCTGAGCCAGGACAGGTGGTGACAAAATGGTCAACGAGAAAACTGAGGCGGCATCGTTTATCAAATGGGTGGCAGGTGATCACGGAATTACGGGGCCTGCTGTCTGCAGCCCGAGCTGGCAGAGTCACAGGTGGTGCACCCACATTTGGCCAAATGAAGATAGAAAGCATCAGTAAACGGTCTCCAGCCAGACTCCGCCCCATGCTGGGGCAGGAAGGTGCAGCCGGAAGACACGCTAGGCAGTCTGGCTTAGTCACCCATGCCTGATAAACGCAGGGATGTGAGTCACCCTCCCACCCAGCATGATCACCTAAAAAAGGCTGGAGGGTCAGACCCTGGCCAACACTGGTCAAAGCACAGAATGCTAGATCACCCACATTACTCCCGTCACCAGAGTAAAGTGGCAGAGTTCACTAAAATGACCTGTGACCCAGCCAGAGACAAAGTGAACGTGGGCTAGGAACCGTCTCAAAAGTCAACAACAGAAATCTTAAACCTTTGTCTTAGAGTCCTCTTTTCGTTTCTACTGTGGACTCTGGGAATCACCTAATACCAAGTCAAGGCTGCTGCTATTCAACTAAGCAAGCATATTTACTGCCTTCCTGATTGGCTTCCAAGTCAAATACAAAAACCTTCCTTGCATCCCATGAAGACACAGCTATGGTGTAACAGATCAAAGGAACCAAGTATTTGAACATCTAAAGTAAGCTTTGAACATAAGGTTATAAGTAAGTGACTCCACGAGTCCCTGAAAATAAAATCTCAGTTGTTGGAGAGCCGTCCGACAGACGGCAGAAATGCTCGTCTGTACTGTAACACAGCAGTCACTTGAAATGTGGCCAGTGGGACAGAGAAACTAAATTTTAAAATTTAATTTCCACTGACTTAGCCACGCATGGCTAGTGCCTACTATCCCAGCAGGACAGTACAGCTTTAGACAGCTAAGATAAGAATCTTTTGAACAAAGGATGATGAATTACCTTCTGGAATGCACACGGACACTTATGTGCAGCATGTGTAAAATGATCTTTACAGAAATCTTGTTTACACATATCACATTTTATTGGAAGAAAATCTAAAAAACAAAAAACAGTGAAGTGTTTTAAAGACTGGAACAAAATAATCCTGGATGGTTCTACAGAAGTGTTTACCTATACTAAGTGCTTCAGGCCTGTGAGATTAGTATGTCCTTTAGGGTCACACATGTGAAAACAATCCTGGGGTCAGGCTGTCTTCTAGAGAGAGACCCCAAGTCATGTGGCATCACAAATATTCAAGCAGCACCCTGGATCCACTCAGCCCTGCCTGCACCCCCACACCCCTTCTGGTGGATGCTGAATGGCCAACAGACCCCGTACCAGTGCAGCTGCTAATCCTGAAAAGCCAGGAAGGCCAAGACACAATTATCAGCTAATTCACATAACAGCCAACTTTCCCCCAACAAAATACCACTTTCTATTAAGTCTCTAAAAAGTACTTACCTAGCTGCTTGCAAGTTTTTTCTGAACAATGCTTCCCCAAATCAGGAAACTCCATTATGAGAACAGTATTCAAAACGCAGATGGCAGAGTTATAATATTACCTGCAAGAGTTAGAATAGTTATGAGGAAAGTCGTGACTGCCCTTCGGTCACCAGGATTTACAATTTAATTACAGCTAATGAAAGTCAACGGGTCGGGCACCAAGGCTCATGTCTGTAATCCCAGCACTTTGGGAGACCAAGTGGGTGGATCACTTGGGGTCGGGAGTTGGTTAGCCTAACCAACATGGAGAAACCCTGTCTCTACTAAAAATACAAAAAAAAAATTAGTGGGGCGTGGTGGCACATGCCTGTAATCCCAGCTATTCAGGACTCTGAGGGAGGAGAATCGCTTGAACCGTGGAGGCAGAGGCTGCGGTGAGCCTAGATCGAGCTATTGCACTCCAGCCTGGGCAACTAGAGCAAAACTCTGTCTCGAGGTGGCGGGGGGGGGGGGGGGGGGAAGAAAATCAATCAACAGCTGTGTGGGGAGCATTCAGTGGTACAAATAGCAGGTCTCAGCCTTTCGTAATCAACCCCATTAGGAGAAACGGATTCCTTTTTAGTCCTTTAAATTTCTAGTCTAGGAAGTTCACCTTGGACCCGGGTTTCTATTTCAACGCATACTGAGGGGGCGATATTCAATTCACACAGCTGCCAGTGAAAATTACAACCTTGGTGAATTTCAAGTCACAATTTTATCAGTATACTTATTGATATAAACAAAACTGTTACTAGGTGCCAAATCACATTAGCTGACTACACTATCCAGAGATTTAACTCTGTTCCTCGCCTCTCTCTTCAACTCCCTTAGGCACTGAGTCTTACTGTGAACTTATTCCTCGATGACATCAACCCAGAGTTGATCAGGGAGAAGCCAAGCTGTTAACTCACAATGGAAAGCAGGCAGACAGCTGGTGAAACTACTGCACTGGAAAGAAAATCAGGGGGCTCACAAGGTTCCCCGCTCCATGATCTAATACCCACCAGCCCTCTCGGGGCCTTTTCCTGATCTTCCCATCAGCTCTCTTCACCCTCCTGGAGGCCTCCTGGGCTGTCCCCTGTGCCTGGAACACATGGCAAACGTCTGACCCCCAGCAGACAGCCGGACTCCCAGCAGGCAGCGGGACCCCCAACAGACAGGCCAGACCCTCAGCAGCCTGACCCCAGGCAGGCCCGGCCCCCAGCAGACAGCCCGGACTCCCAGATGACAGGCCGGAACCCCCAGGCAGGCCCTGTCCCCGGAGGCAGTGCAAAGCCGGCCCCGTACCTGGCTCTCGTTTGGGACCCAGGCAGCTGCAGGAAGCAGCGGAAGATAGAGACGGACACGCAGGTGTCCTCCTCCGCAATCGGCTCCGGGGAGCGAGGCCAAAAGAGCCTCGACACGGGAACCGAGACGCCGCAGGACGCAGACGCAAGTTCACAGCAGGACGCGCCATCTCGCCGCCCGCAGCCGACAGCCATTTATCCGCAGCCCCCGGATGTGCGAGCCGCCTCGGCTTTGCGGCTTCCGGGCGCGCCCCGACGACGTAACCCTCAGACTGGCCAGTCCCATCCGGCCGCGGCCCGGCGGCGCCGGCGCGTCCCGAGTACGTCACCAGCCATCCGGCCAATCCCGTCCTGCCGCGCCCTGCCCATCCACCCGCTGTTCGCCCCTCCGCTTTCCTTCTGGAAGCGTCCGGGCGCTTCTCGCAGGCAGCGCGCGTGCTGAGTCACTGTGAGGCGGCTGCGCGCAGCCGCAGTCGCGGCCGCGTGGGTAAGGAGCGGAGAAGCTGAGTCAGGGCTGTGGCCAGGGTCCCGCGGGGCAGAAGCGCGAGTCAGGCCTGAGTGGGGAGGCCCAGTGGCCCGTCAGGGTACCCCGACGCTTCCCCATCCAGCGGGTCCCAGGAGGCCTCTATCTCAAAGTAACCTGTTATTTGGTAATTTAAACTTAGAGGAAAGCTCCAAGAATAATACCGAAAATGTCAAGGTCCCCAGCACCCAGTTTAACCGTTTCCCATATCACCGCGGCTGCCCCCGCCCGCTGCAGGGTTATGTGGCCGTGTGGGGTTGACTCTGCCCAGGGCCGCGGTGGCTGCACGGAGCGTCCTGCGCATACATGGCTCTGCCTGGGGAAGACCCCCGTCCCGCCTTTCACAGGCAACCCGCTGGGCAGGAGGAGGACCTGGGCCCAGGACGTGAAGACCAGCCTGGGCAACATAGTGAGACCCCATCTCTGCAGAAATAGAAAAAAATAGCTGGGCCAAGAATGGTGGCTCACGGCTGTAATCCTAGCACTTTGGGAGGTCGAGGCGGGAGGATTGCCTGAGGTCAGGAGTTCAAAACCAGCCTGGTGAACATTGTGAAACCCTTGTCTCTACAAAAATAAATTAACCTGGCCTTGTGGCACGCACTTGCAGTCCCAGCCTCTTGGGAGGTGGAGGCTTTAGTGAGCTGTGAATGTGCCCTGCACTAGAGCCTGGGCGACAGAGCAGACCCTCCCTCAAACCCAAAAAACATCGTGCCAACAGGACCAGATCAATATATTTTTTTTAGGCAGGGTCTCCCTCTGTGGCCCAGGCTGGGGGGCACTGGGATGATCACAGCTCACTGCAGCCTCCACCTCCCAGGTTCCTGAGTAGCAGAGGCTACAGGTGTGCGCCATCATGCCGGGCTAATTTTTGTATTTTTCATGGATATGGGGTTTCATAGTGTGGCTCAGGCTGGTCTTGAACTCCTGACCTTAGATGATCACTCTGCCTTGGCTTCCCGAAGTGCTGGGATTAACAGGCGTGAGCCACTGTGCCCAGCTTATTGCACAGTCTTTACTCTCAGTTTTCACCAGAGGACTCAAGGGCTGTGAAAAGAGCAAGACCTCCCCAGCTGCATGGTGTTGGTGATGGGCTCCATCTTGATGTGCTTTCTGATCCCACAGCATCTCCCCTTGAAGGCTCTGCCCAGGCCCAGGACAACCCCCTTTCAGGATGTCTGGATCAGTGCAGGACCTTCTTCTTGACCACATCCCTCTCCTTGGACTGGTTCATTACCTGTTTTACCCATCTTCCCCACTCCCCCCCCGCCTTTTTTTTTTCCAGATAGAGTTTCATTCTTGTCCAGGCCGGAGGGCAATGACACAGTGTCGGCTCACTGCAACCTCTGCCTCGCAGGTTCAAGTGATTCTCCTGCCTTGGCTTCCCAAGTAGCTGGGATTACAGGTGCATGTCATCATGCCCAGCTAATTTTTTTTTGTATTTTAGGAAGAGAAGGGTTTCACCATGTTGGCCAGGCGGGTCTCAAACTCCTGATCTCAGGTGATCCACCCGCCTTGGCCTCCTGAAGTGCTGGTATTACAGGCGTGCGCCACCACACCTGACCTACCCCCCTTTTCTCTTGATGTAAGTGCTGCTTTGATATGGACATTTTAATCCATAACTTTACAGCTATATATGGTTTGTAGTGTTGACTGACCTGTGGAGCGGCTTGAGCCTGAATGCCTGAGGCTGTAGCTACCAAGTGAATGGGTTGTGCTAAGGAGAATTGCCACCTTGGGAAACCCTGTGTAGTTGTGGCTTTTCTGATTAAGTATCAATAAAAGTCTGACCTTGTAACACACACACACACACACACACACACACACAGAGACGTGAGTGGACCTGCTTACGTTTCACCCTTGGTTGCTCAGTGATAGCTCTGCAGAGTCACAGCAAACACAGAATTGTCTAATTATCACGAACGTTGGTGAGTAGACACTCCTAGGGCAGTGGCTCACAGGGGAAATACAGAGTTCGGTTCCTCCAAGCTTCCGGCTGCAGCATTTTTGTGAAGCAGTTCACTATTCACCTTGTTGGGTATGTGCCTCTCTCTGAGGGTACCTTCTTTAATAATATATTGAACTTTCAACCCAGAATTTCACATCTAGCCAAACTAAGCTTCATAAGCGAAGGAAAAATAAAATCTTTTGTGAACAAGCAAGCACTCAGAGATTTCATCACCACCAGGCCTGCTTTACAAGAGCTTCTGAAAGAACCACTACATATAGAAAGGAACAAACAGGATCAGCCTTTCTAAAAAATACCAAAAAGTAAAGAGCATCTACATAATGAAGAATTTATATCAACTAATGGGCAAAACAGCCAGCTAACATTAAATGGCAGTATTAAACTCACATATATTATTATTAAGTTTCCCAATAATAATGGGAGACTTCAACATCAACATTAGACAGATCAATGAGACAGAAAATTAACAATGACATCCAGGACTTGAAATCAGACACGGAACAAGTAAACTTAATTAACATTTACAGAACTCTCCCCTTTAAATACACAGAATACACACTCTTATCAGTATCACATCACACCTACTTACAGGTTTAAATGAAATATTGGTTGGCTGCTTGTTCGTTCTTTTCTTCCTTCATCTTTGTTGTGTCTCCATTATTAAGCACATTTATAGGCATACCCATTTCTAGACTGCATTCTAGCCCGGGCAGCAAAGCAACACCCCCGTTCTCTCTCCCTCTTCCTCTTCCTCGTTCTTCCTCTCCGTCATTCTTTTAATTATTATTCTTTTTTCTTTCTTTCTTTTCTCTAAAAATATAAAATAAAAATAATATATTGTTGATTCATTAACATGGAATTAATGGCCAATATACCTCTGTCACTTATGCCTGATTGAAGTTTATTGACACATGGATTTTTCTCCCATAGGCACATCGCAGGCTTCTTGCCATCAAGAAACTGCATGGGGCTGGGTGCAGTGGCTCACACCTGTAATCCCCGCACTTGGGGAGGCCAAGGCGGGTGGATCATCTGAAGTCAGTAGTTTGAGACCAGCCTGACCGACATGGTGAAGCCCTGTCTCTACTAAAAATACAAAAATTAGCCGGGCATGGTGATGGGCGCCTGTAATCACAGCTACTCTGGAGAGTGAGGCAGGAGAATCGCCTGAACCCCGGAGGTGGAGATTGCAGTGAGCTGAGATCATGCCACGGCCCTCCAGCCTGGGTGAGAGTGAGATTCCATTTCAAAAAAAAAACAAAACAAATCAAGAAGATTAGCCAGATGTGGTGGTGGGCGCCTGTAATCCCAGCTACTCAGGGGGCTGAGGCAGAAGAATTTCTTGAACCTGTGAGATGAAAGTCGCAGCGTGCAGAGATTGTGCCACTGTACTCCAGCCTGGGCAACAGAGCGAGGCTCTGTCTCAAAAAAGAAAAGAAACAACACTTAAGGTCTGCTCCTCACCCCATTCAGATTTTGCCCCGTTCATCTTTTTACCCCATTCACATTTTACGCCAGTTTTTTACCCTGTTCAGATTTTACCCCATTTAGATTTTGCCCCATTCAGACTTCACCCTGTTTAGATTTTATTCCATTTAGATTTTACCAACAGTCAACAATGTCTCTTTCGCTTTCTGCTCCAGGAACCCATCTACAATCACAGTTTCAGTTCCCTCCCAGCTGGGATATGTCTTTGGATATTCCTGTCCTTGTAATCCCACTCCCAAAGTGCTGGGATTACAGGCCTGAGCCACCAAGCCCAGCCATTGAGAACACTCTCTTCTTCGGCTGCAGGGACACCTCCTCTCTTTATTTTCCTCCTAAGTTAACAGTGACTACGCTCACGCTACGCGTCGCTTGCGGTATTTCTTTTCTTTTCTTTTTTTCTTTTTCTTTTTTTGAGATGGCAGTCTTGTTCTGTCCCCCAGGCTGGAGTACAGTGGCACAATCTCAGCTCGCTGTAACCTCCACCTCCTGGGTTCAAGCAATTCTCCTGCCTCAGCCTCCTGAGTAGCTGGGACTACAGGTGTGTGCCACCGCCGCTCCTGGCTAATTTTTTGTACTTAGTTGAGGTGGGTATTTCTGCATCAGAAATGCCATCCTTAGGCTGGATGCCATGCCTCATGCCTGTAATACCAGCACTTTGGGAGGCTGAGCTAGGTGGATCCCTTGAGGCCAGGAGTTCAAGAACAGCCTGGGCAACATCGCAGGACCCTGTCTCTACAAAAAGAAAAAGCTTTTAAGTCATTCTTGATTTTAAAATGCTACTCTGGCCAGGTGCGGTGGCTCATGCCTGTAATCCCAGCACTTTGGGAGGCTGAGGTGTGCAAATCACAAGATCAGGAGTTCAAGACTAGCCTGACCAACATAGTGAAACCCCGTCTCTACTAAAAATACAAAATTAGCTGGGCGTGGTGGTGGGTGCCTGTAATCCCAGCTGCTCATGAGGCTGAAGCAGGAGAATTGCTTGAACCTGGGAGGCAGAGTTGCAGTGAACCCAGATCGCAACATTGCACTCCAGCCTGAGCAACAGAGCAAGACTCCATCTCAAAAATAATAAAATAAAGTAAAATGCTACTCTGATCTGAGCTCCTGCCAGTTCGTGGCCTCCAGATCCTTAGGGGTCTGTTCTCGAGAACGCGGGGTGGACGGCCTCGTCCTTCACAGAATAACGACATGCAAAGTCAAAGGGTTGTTTCGACTGTGTTCTGTTGCCTGAAGGGTTCTGAATAAGCGACAACTACCCCGATTCCTCCCTGCCGCCA